TTAAAAATCTTAATAGGCAATAAAAATTTTTCTTATATCAAACTTTTTACGACTTAAGTGCTGATCAGTCACAAGTACTGAGTAGTTTAAAATAATGAAAGAAAAAGGTGGGGTCAGTGATGATAATTTTGAAATATTTGTCAAAATATGTGATTTTCAGGCAAAGAATGGTGTTAATTTGATCTTGACTTCTTTAATATAATTTCATTTTTTGGAAAAGTTTGTTGAGGGAAGGTGTAAAACTTAGTCTAAAAATTTAACTTAAGACCTATATTAAATATTTTTAGCATTATCAAAACGGAATATTCTCCGAGTAAAAGTATGTGAGGCTAAATTTCCATTACATTAAATTTTATAAATGTGCAGATTTGCAGAATTTTCTGCTAAATATCCTTCCATCAAAAGAAATAGTCCTTCATAAATCTTGCTTCTTCGTAGATTTTTGAGCAGTTTTTTCATTGAATGTTAAAAAATTTACATTGTTGAATTTAAATATGTTATAAAAATTGAATTTTAATAAGTAGTTTTGAAGTAAAAGCTTCTGCGTGAACTTTTCTAAAAAGCTGACGAGTGACTTACCTTAAAATGATTTTGTCCTACGGACCCGGTTTAACGATAGAATTTGTTCTGTGTATTCATAATGTAGCAAAAGAAACAGGGGTGATAACTTAGAGCTGAAACGAATATATAAATATTCGAATATTCGTGGCTGTTATTTGATTCGTATTCGAACATTCGTTAATTAAGTAAAGGTGTAATTATGCCTTCTCATATACTTGCAAATCCTATTGTTGTTTACGATACATGTAAGTGTAAAAAATAAACGTATGTTCAAAGTCGTTTGACACACAGTACGATGCATATTAAGACAACAAAAAATTAAAATACAGAAAAAACATCTTTATCAACAGTGATAAGCCTCTTTACTTCTTAATATTAGTTCAGTATATTGCATTCATGTTACACAAAACGCTCAGTATTCAAACCAACAAGTGCTCGCCATGTTTTACTGTTATATTAATGAAACAGAAAATGTCCCCTTTCCGAAAACGTCCTGTGAATTTATTTAAACTGTATAATTTATTTAAAATATAACATTGATTCTGAGAAAGGTGTAATGTAATGTATACTTTTCACAAATGATTTCTGTACTGATTTATAAATCTGAACAATAGGTACTACTTATTAATCCGGAGTATTTCTCTCCGCACAAAATAAATCTTTCTATTTTTGATAGTGAAAATCATGGTGGTCATCATAGGTTAAGAACGGAGATAGATGAGGCTGATGAATGTTTGTCTTGAAAATGATTAAATAAAGATCTTTGACGTTGTGCCTCTATCAGGCTAGTAGTACTATATGTGGACAAATATACAACCTGCTGTATACAAGAAATGTATTTTCTTTCGTTTGGAGGGAAGTACCTCTTTTACCACCGTGATCAAAAACTCAGTAAATACAATTTTTTTTATATGAAACACAGGTATTAAACATGTGACCGAATATTCGAACACAAATTTTCCATTTGAATATTCGTGAAAAATTTTGTTTTCGAATGTTCGAACATTCGTTTCAGTTCTATGATAACTCGTACTCAGTTATTTACTACGAACAATCTAGAGAGTTCCAAATGTAAACATGGCAGTTAAATTTGAAGCGAGAGAAAAATGTCGAGAAAATTTTATTGGGTTTTCGACTTTATATGGATTATTTAAGCTATAAAAGACATGCAATCTCAAATAGGTTTGTTTTGATTAATTTGGTTGTTTTTTTCAGTGCAAATCTTTTTATATTCTTCAAAATAATTTCGGAGCGGATCCGCTCCGATTTGCTACATATGGGACGCATTCTTAGACTAACTGTGGTGAGGATTTGTACCGATTCACAGTTAGATTATTTTAACTAATGTACACCTTGTGGTCATTTAAAATAATAAACTTATCAATAAAAGTTTTGCTACATTATGCACACCTGCGCTGTTTTTGTTTGACTTTCACCGTTTTCTTCACCAAAGTAAGTCAATCTTGAGATTTATTCTTGTTAACTTTGTGATGAATTTTGTACTCAAGTGATCTTGTAAACAACACATCCAAGTAAGGTAAAAAAAATTTTAGGGTCAGCAGACATGTTAAGTAGATTTGCCGAACAAAGGTCATTTTGCGCGCATGTGCTTGCAAGAGCGTGCATGTGCAACACGTGAAATGACCGATTTAATTGATTTTGGCGTAAGTTTTTACATTTTTGATGAAATCCTTTGAAACTCATAATATAAGGATATATTAGTGGCATAGACAATTCAAAATAGCAAGATCTCGCACGCATGCACGTGTGCTTTGCTCTGATTGGCTGAAACTAAAGTCTCAATATCTTTCTTGTTTTTCGACGAAATCATGTGAAATTTTGAACATAGCCATGCATTAAGATATCCTACAATTTGATATATAGCAATTATCATGAAAACACGTGCATGCACGTGCGCTGCAATCTGATTGGCTTAAACTTTAAATAGCTATAACTCCCTTGGTTTTCAACCAAATGGCATGGGATTTGGAATATAGATAGATATAATGAACTTCTACAAGAAGGTATGGTCACCATGCACATGCATACACGTGCATGTACCTGCGCTGTAATCTGATTGGCTGAACCTTTTAATAGCTATAACTCCCTTGGTTTTCAACCAAACAGGATGGGATTTAGAACATAGATAGATATAATGAACTTCTACAAGAAGGTATGGTCACCATGCACATGCGTATACGTGCGGTGTAATCTGATTGGCTGAAACTTTAAACAGCTATAACTCCCTTGGTTTTCAACCAAACGGGATGGGATTTAGAACATGGATAGATGTAATGGACTTCTACAAGAAGATATGGTCAGATGTAATGAACTTCTACAAGAAGATATGGTCAGATGTAATGAACTTCTACAAGAAGATATGGTCACCATGCTCATATATGCACGTGCGTGCACGTGAAATGGGTTATATCAAAAATACACTGGAATGAGCGTATTTTTTTTTTATACTATTGGTTTGAATACTTCAATATTTAGTATATAAAAAATATAAAGATTGTGTAAACAAGATATGGTCATTATGCACATGCATTCACAGGTGCACATGTGCAATGCTAAAATTTGAAGAATAAGGTATTACCCACATATTTACTGTGAACAACCTTCACATTTTTATCTCGGTAAAGAAAAAAATGCATGATACAATGTAATCATTTACGGGGGAATCACACCAGCAAGTTCTTATGAAGTTCAATAATGGCATAAATCTGGAAATTTTTACGTCAATTTTATTTTGCGAATTGGGTCAAAATGCTGTTGATTAATTTTTACGTTTCAAAACTTTGCGAATGACCACTGCTTTGTTTACAGTTTCATTACTAATTTTCTCTTCCTTTGTTATAAGTACAAACCACTAAAGCTAGAGTCTTGACAGATACTTCTGGTTCACCTTCATGTTTGTTGTGCTCAAGGCTTATCACTAGTCATGTTCACTTTGGCCATTTTTGTATGAATTTATATGGAGCTCTTTGTCTGAAGGAGATCAATATAGTCGGGAAAAGGCCACGACCACCCAACCCTCGTAATCTTCCATTAGGTCTGTTCAGCATTAAACTATAGATTAAGTACAAATTGAGTAATAATCTTACACTGTAAATTTCAATTCATTATCCAACACTCAAAGTTTTTTTTGGGGAGGGGCATAGGAATCAGCTTGTCCGTCTGTCTGTGCACCCATCCATATCTTTTTTACGGAGGAACATTAGAATCTACTACTCCACAGAAAGATTGCTCATGACCTAAGGGTATGTCATGTCCTTTACTCAAGGTCATTTGGGAAGTTCAAGGTCACTGAAAGAAAAATTTCATAATTCTTCTCCCGTCCATATCTTTGTTATGGATAAACATGGTAAATTCTCATTTCACACAAAGATTGTTCATGACCTAAGGGTGTGTCATGACCTTGACCCAAGGTCATTTGGGGAAGTTCAAGGTCACTAGAAGAAAAATTTCATAATTCGTGTCAGGTCCATATTTTTTTATGGATAAACTTGGTAAGTTTCCATTTCGCACAAAGATTCCTCATGACTTAAGGATGTGTCATGGCCTTGGCCCAAGGTGATTTGGGGAAGTTCAAGGTCACCGGAAGAAAAAATACTTAATTTGTGTCTGGTCCATATCTTTCTTATAGATAAACTTGGTAAATTCTCATTTTACACAAAGATTGTACATGACCTAAGAGTATGTCATGACCTTGATCCAAGGTCATTTTGGAAGATTAAGGTCGCTTGAAGAAAAATTTTATAATTAGTGTCAGGTCCATATCTTTTTTCATGGATAAACTTGGTAAGTTCTTATATCAAACAAAGATTCCTCATGACCTAAGGGTGTGTCACGACCTTGACCCAAGGTCATCTGTGCAAGTTCAAGGTCACTGAAAGAAAAATTGTAAAATTCATGTTTGGTACATATCTTTATTATGGAAAAACTTGAATCTACTACTTCACACAAACATTGCTTATGACCTGAGGTTGTGTCATGACTTTGAACCAAGTTCATTTATTCAAGGCCAATGACAGAAAAAGTTCATAGTTTTTGTCTGGTCTTATGTTTAGTCTTTTATTTTTTTTAGACTGTGCCTTCGTTTCATTAATAAAAAATATAATTAGCAATTACATTTGCACTAAAAAAAGTTTAACCATTTCTCTCTTCTCTAAGATCCATTAAATATTCATGATTTAGCACTTCTGAAAAACCCAGTAGGGGGTATTTTGTCCCGTTTGGACAGTTCTAGTTTGAATATATCTCAAAGGGCAGATCACTTTAACTGCAGAAAAAACATAACAGAATCTAAACTCTTTTAGTGTGCAGTGTAAGAATATTCTTTAGTAATTTTAGGGAAAGGTATTATTGAAAGGACTAAGTAAATAATACTTCAAAGAATACTGATTGAATTACTAGCAGTTGTATGTGTTTTGCAGAAACCTGGTGATGCCACGTAAGAAGAACTGGCGGGTTGCAGTAGCCAAGATGGGGAACCAGAGTCGAGCCAGGAGTGACAATAGACTCGTGGATACTAGCCACGTAAAAAATAGTACGAAAGACCCAACGATTAACGCAACAGATGACGGACCTTTTAGACTCGTGGAAGCTAGCCACGTAAAAAATAGTGCTGAAGACCGGGGGGATACTGCCTCCTTAAAAAGAGTACACGATTTGCCTTCGGGCACCAGAAACATTGCAGATTTGCCTTCGGGCATGAATAACATTGCAAATTTGCCTTCGGGCACGAATAACATTGTGAATTTGCCTTCGGGCGCCAGAAACACTGTGAATTTGCCTTCGGGCGCCAGTAACATTGCCAGTTTGTCTTCAGGCACTACATTATTTGCAACAATTAATCAAGCGAATGATATATTTCCAGCTTTCTCGAGAGGAGTTCAGTGCACATGCAATGCTTTGATGTCCATCATTTTGCAGAATGCATCCACTTCATCAGAACTTGACAAGGTGCTCTTTGCTGGGGATGATTTATTCAGAGTCAGAATTGCAGAATTACAATCAACTGTTCAATTTGTTTCTAAAATGTTACAATTTCAAGAACTTCCAAAGTGTGTTTATGTGCATGACAATCAGTATGAAATAAACTATTTTGAACAGATCTATGGAACATTGACTCATGTAGACTGGGATCAGTCATGTCAAAGTAATAATTTGAAGGAAGGTGTTGAGCTGCTCTTTGCAAGATACAATAAAGGTTTACCCCTGCGAAATGATCAAGAATAATTCTTGAACTTTTAAGAAAAGTTCATGAATTATATTCTTGATTCATGAATTGTTCATGAAGATCCCATGAAGTTAAAATTGGACACTCATGATTTCATGGATTTTATTCATGAAAACCAAGTTCAAGAATATTCAAGAATTATTTGTTGTTCATGAACAAACTTGGATTTTTTAAATGCCTGCAAAATGATCAAGAATAATTCTTGAACTTTCAAGAAAAGTTCATGAATTACATTCATGAACTTTCAAGAAAAATTCATGAATGATATTAATAGGTTCAATGCATTTTCATGAACTATTCATGAATAATTTGTAAAAGTTATTTAGGAATGTTCATGAACTATTCATGAATGTTCTTGCTTTTAGTAAACAAAAATGTAATAAGTTAGGCAAAATGAAAAACTGTAAAAGAAAATATTTTAATAGCATCTTGAAAGATTTCACAGAATTTTTGTTTTCCAATCAATGGGTAACAAAATCTTTGTTCAAGTAAACAACTCTGATAAGTGATAACAATAATAAATAAATTATGTAGTTCATATATTCCTAATAAATTATGAAAAATTTCAATTCAAACGCGACTCTTTGCAGAATCCTTAACCTTACTTGGTCAAGAGGAGAGTGGGTTCCTTATTCAGCGCATTTCAAAGTGTATGCCTAAAACATGTAAAATGGAATGATTTTTAATCCAAGTCTCACTGTCTGGCAGAAAAGTGTGTTCAGCAATTAGGGCATCAGCTTAAAGGGCTTTCAAGGATTTTGAGCAGAGGTGGTCAAATAAAAAAATCTTATTGGCTTTCCCTGTGGAATTTTCAGAATTTCATCACTTGGATCCATTGATCGATTAAGATTCATATTTTCATTCCTTTCTTTTGTTTTTCTTCAAGAGCCTGGATTTTTTATATTCTTTTTTTTTTTTTTTTTTTTTAATCTTCTGATCTCAACTCATCAACATCATCTGTGAACTGCTTCTCTTTTCCCTACAAGAACAAAGATTTTCTGAAAATGCTCATAAATGTGAAAACTTAAGACTTGCATATTTGTTTCATTTAATTCTGCATCATAGGCACTGCCATATTTTAAAGCATTTCGAGCGGGAGTTTAGCCTGTTTCCCTTGCCCGCCATGTTCAAGATGTTATAGGTGAACAGGATGAATGTTTCAAACTTTAATTATTAAATGTAACGTAATTTGGTTGGATCTCCAAAGTTTGACAAAATTTTCATTAAAAAGGACATAACTGAACTCTTACAAATAGACAGTAATATCTTGACAAATATCTCACAGAATGAGATTCAGCGATTGCCTCCATTTTTTGTAACTCACCACTAATATCTGCAATTATGAAGTAAATTGATCCTCTGGATATTCCTTCTTCGTATTCTGTTATTTTCTTCAAAGGTTGACAAAGAATGACTACGCTAATAATCCTCCCACTCTACCGATTCACTTTCCAACGTCTCGCACGTTTCAAAGTTTGTGCCTTTTAAAAAGTGTCATGCAGAGCTAATTAAGAAATAGTTTCGAATTGCCAAGATTTTTGTTAAACAAAAAATAACAAACACTATCTGAATGATTTTTCACTGAAATTATTTTTTTTAAATTAATATAAGTTATATCATTTATTGAATTGGATTTTTTTTTACATTATACCTGTAGAGCCATAGTTTCGTATTCAAGAATGGCCGCCTCCATATCAGAGGACAATAAATATCTGTTGGAACCACTCTCCCTCAAACTGAGTACCCTGAGCTATGAAAGTGTATAGGAGAATAGACTACAAAATACGAATGTGGTTCATGTCATAGCTTCTTCACATCCATGCAGCCTGTGCTGTATCATTTACACACGATGGACAGAAAAATGTGACATTATAACAGCATCAAAATATAAAGCTTTTCGACCCAAGAATGATACGGTACAGTACGGACAAGAGATATAATTTTTTAGTTGTCAATAAATTTATGATACGTTTTTACGTAGATTATGAAATTTTTCCTAGTCTGTAAGTCTGTTTCATTTTCTTACAACTTGTTGAAAGTTTGACAAATAGAGAAAATTCGGTCGAACAAAGTTGTGTCGTGAAAAATGAGATAATTTAAAGCACAATATTAATATAACTGGCCAATTTAAATGATGAAGAAACATTAGTAATTCAATATGAGAATAAAATGCTGTCAGTATTGATGCAGTGTTCTTTAAATTACGATCATGATTTAATTATAATCTCCCTTCTAGACAGTTCATAACAGAGTTTTATTATCCTGAAGAGTCTAAGTTATCAATTACATAGATTAGAAAATAGTGATTTTAACCTCTTATGTTCCCCTACTCGGCTCTGATCCCATACTTTCAAAATCAAAACAAAAGCATGTTATTAATTAAATCAGGGGCTTGTTCAACAATTGCATCTGCAAAAGTTGTAATATGGGAGTAATGAGTGTTTTCTGGCGATCGTTTGTGACAATTTGATTTTTACATTTTTAGTCTTCATGAAAATTCATGAACATTCATTACCTTGAACTACTAAGTTTTTTTCTTTAAACTGAAAATTACCAATATTCATATTTGTTCATCATTTGTTCATGAACTATGAATTATGAATGTTTTCATGAATTTTATTCATGAACTACTTTTATGAACCTGTTAAGAATCCTTTAAGAACCATTCATGAACAATTATGAACAACTCATAAAGGTTCTTAAAATCATGAATATCATTTCGCAGGGGTAATTATAATTGGAGGAATTTGTTCTGCAATATATATGGATGACAAGAGGTGTCCTGTATTTTTTGATTCACATTCCCATGGAAAAGATGGTCTTTCTTGTGCAGATGGGAAGGCTGTAAAAATCACTTTTGGAGATACTGAGCAACTTGTGGACTACATGTTTGCATTATATCAAAGTTGTAATATTTCAATGATAAGCCAGTTTGAGATTCAACCAGTGTCGGTAAAACAAAAAACAAATGTGTCCATTTTAGGAAATGAGAGACTCTCCTTAATTGACAAGTACTTTGAGTTTCAAGGGAACATGTCTAGAAAATGTACCAATTCTGAATCATCACAAAGAAATCGAAATGAATATATGAGAAATTACATGCGAAACAAAAGGGAAAACTTGGAGATAAAACAGAAGGACAGGGAAAGTAACCTTAGAAGTATGACCAAAGCAAGGCAGAGTAAAGAATTTAAAGAGAAAGAACTTGTTTCCAAAAAAAGTGTCCGAGAAAATCCTGAAACAAAGCAGAAAGAAAGAGATCGTTCATTAAAAAGTATGAACAAGGCAAGACAAAGTAAAGAATTTAAAGAGAAAGAACTTGTTTCCAAAAAAAGTGTCAGAGAAAATCTTGAAACAAAGCTCAAGGAAAGAGAACGTACATTAAAAAGTATGAACAAGGCAAGACAAAGTAAAGAATTTAAAGAAAAAGAACTTGCTTCCAAAAAAGGTGTCAGAGAAAATCCTGAAACAAAGCTCAAGGAAAGAGAACGTACATTAAAAAGTATGAACAAGGCAAGACTTAATACAGGATTCTGTTTAAAAGAAAGAGAAGCAAAGAAAAAGAAAAGAGACAATGTACAGCAGCTAGAGAAAGAACGGCTAAGTAAAATGCAAAGTAGAGAAAAATACAGAGAAAAGGAAAGAGAGAGTGACAGAGTTTCTAAAGCTAAAAGGAGGCTTGATATGGAATTCACAGACCATGAAAACAATTTATTAAAAAAAAGGTGTCATGGTAATTCGTTGGAAGATTGTATAGAAAAATTTCATGAAGAAGTGAAAATTGGTCCAATTTATGTGTGTACATGTTGTCATCAGACTTGGTTTAGGAAAAGTGTTGTGAAGCTAGATACAACTAATCTTAGTGTTAGTAGTAAAAGTATTTGTACTGGATTTACATCTGCAGATGGCATAGAATGGCTATGTATAACCTGCTGTTCAGCTTTGAAAGATGAGAAAATTCCAAAACTGTCAGTTAAAAATGGAATGAAGTGGCCTGAAAAACCAGATACTTTGAATTTACACCCACTGGAAGAGAGGCTGATATCTCAACGCATACCATTCATGCAAATAAGAGAATTACCTAGAGGAGGTCAGATGTCGGTCAAAGGAAATGTTGTAAATGTTCCAGTTGATATTCAGCCAACTGTGAATGCCCTTCCACGACAAATAGATGAGCATGTAACTATAGCTGTAAAATTAAAGAAAAGATTATCTCACAAATCGGCATGCTTCACAGAAAATGTTCGTCCAAATATGGTGTTAGATGCTTTACAATGGCTTATGAAGAATAGTGAATTGTATAAAAATTCCGGTATAGTGATAGACCAATCTTGGAGAGATGAAATTGAAAAAAGTAATGAAGAAACAGTACAAGAACTGATTGGTAGTTCAAATGATAGTGATGATCGTGAATCTGAAAGTAATGATGATGGTTTTTGTGAAGTTTCTTCAGATGATTGTATTCAAGGCAATTCAGATACACTTGTTGATGAAGCAGATATTGATACAAATAAACTGTATGTGTTTGCCCCTGGAGAAAACCAAAAACCAGTAAGTTTATTTACAGATAAAGATGCAGAATATCTTTGTTTTCCCACAATATTTTGTGGTCAACGCAGAATTGAAAGTGATGAAAGAGAAGTTCCAGTACACTACAGTGATATCGCAAAATGGGAGTTATGCAGTGTTGATAGACGTGCAGCACAATCTGTACCAAACATCTTTTTTAAATTGAAGAAAATTCAAATTAAGCAAGTTAGTGACAAAGTTAACTTGGCACTGAGAAGATGTAAATCAGATGGTAAGAAAATCACTGCTGAACAAGTTTTGAATCCAGCCTCTGCAGAAAAAATTGTAAAATTAAATGAAGGGTATTATATATTCAGAACACTCAGAAATTCACCTGCATATCTTTCAACTAAAAAGAAAGATGTATTTGCCATGATAAGGCAGTTGGGTCTTCCAACCTGGTTTATTTCTCTCTCATCAGCTGATACCAGATGGCAAGATCTGCTTAAAACATTGGCAACACTAGATGGAAAAACCCTGTCACAAGAAGAATTAGAGGATTTGAATTGGAGTGAAAAATCAAAACTAGTTAAACAAGATCCAGTGACTTGTGCAAGATTTTTTGACAACAGAGTTCAACTTTTCATCAATACTGTTCTTAAGAGTCCTCACAATCCTCTAGGTGTTGTCACTGATGTGTTTCGGAGGGTAGAATTCCAAAACCGAGGTTCACCGCATATTCATATGCTTGTATGGACAAGTGATGCTCCAAAGCACAAAGAGAATAGCAATGAGGAAATTGAACTTTATGTAGATAAGTATGTCACATGTGGTTTGCAGGAAAATAATCCTCAAATGAAGCAGCATGTAGAGCTTCAAGTACATAAGCACTCAAAGACTTGCAAAAAAGGCGGTAGATCTTTATGCAGATTTGGATTTCCTCTGCCACCTTTGCCCAAAACCATGCTTCTTGAACCCTTGGATGTTGATGTTGAGCATTATAGAAAGTTGTATTCTGATATTCAGAAGAAAATTAATGATTACAAAGATGGTTGCAGTTTAGACTATGAGTCCTTCTTAGAGACTGTTGTAGAAATGTGTGAGGATAAGTATATAAAATGTATTTGAGCTTCCTTGAAAGGTCCTAAAGTGTTTCTGAAGAGAAGTCAATCGGAGATGAGAGTGAATTACTATAATGCATCAGTGTTAAAGGCCTGGAATGCTAACTTAGATATTCAGTTTGTACTTGATCCTTATGCATGTGCCACATACATTGTTGCTTATATCAGCAAATCTCAGAGAGGAATTAGTGCAATGCTTGATAAGGCATCTCAAGAAGCTGCAGAAGGAAATATGGATCTTAAACGACAAGTTCGACATATTGGAAACAAGTTCTTAAACTTTGTTGAGGTCAGTGCACAAGAGGCAAGTTACTTAATCCTTCAGATGCCACTTACACAAGCAACTAGAGAGGTTGTTTTTATCAATACCTCACCACCTGAAGACAGAGTTTTCTTACTCAAACATCAAGATGAATTGAATGAGTTACCCAAGAATTCAACTGATATCAAGGCAGATAGTATGATACAAAGATATGCAAGAAGACCAAAACAGCTAGAAAATCGGTGCTTAGCTGATGTAGTTACTGAATTGGAAGTGACTTTCCCGAAAGAAATTAGAAAAGATATACAAGAAGAAGTCAATGATGATAACCCAGAGGATAATTCTCAAGAAACTTTTACGGATCAAGATGTGTTAGTTCATTTGAAAAATGGGATTAAGATCAGAAGACGAAAAAACAAACGAGTAATTAGATATGTAGGGTACAGCCAAAAAACAAATTCTGAACAGTATTACAGAGAAAGAATTCTTCTCTTTCTGCCTTGGAGAAATGAGAATGCTGACCTACTTGGTGGTTTTCAAACTTATGAACAGCACTACAGACAAAAAGCATGTATAATACAAGTGAAACAAAAGAAATATGAGCATTTTGTGGATGAATTAGAGCAAGCTCGACTTCAAGCGGAAGAAGATCTTGATCATCTGGAGACTATAGCACCAAATACAGAGCATGCTGAGGCAGAAGATGCAGAGATAGGTTCTGAACCATCTGAGGAATTTGTTCATTTTGATCCTGATACAGTTCAACACAGAGAATTTGATATTGGGCCAGAACTTGGATTGTCCTCAAAAGTAACTGAAACAGAAATGAGTGCAGTCCGCATTCCTGATCAGCAGTATTATAAACTTTTGCAATCCCTGAATACTAAGCAGAGGGAATTTTACAATCATGTAACTAACTGGATTCAAAACAGAGATGAATCATTATATGCTTTTCTTACTGGTGGAGCAGGTGCAGGAAAATCAGTGGTTATTGATGCCATTTTTCAGACATTACACAGAATACTGTACTCAAAAGAAGGTGAAAATCCTGATGATATTAGAATATTACTTTGCGCTCACACTGGTAAAGCTGCATACAACATCAAAGGGACTACTATTGCATCAGCATTTCACAGAAAAATGTATCAATCTCAGCAGCACATGAGTGCAGATGAACTGAACTCATTTAGGACAAAGTACCAAAATTTGTCAGTTGTGATAATTGATGAAATATCAATGGTAGGAAATAATATGCTGTCATTTATAAATGATAGACTTCAACAACTTACTGGGAGAAAACAAGATTTTGGTGGTATCAGTATCATAGCTGTAGGTGATTTGTATCAGTTGCCACCCGTTGGAGACAAGTGGATTTTCAAAGACCTTTCTAATCCTGGTCAGAGTTTAGCAAACAATTTGTGGCATGGACATTTTTATATGCATGAACTAACTGAAATTATGAGACAAAAAGATGACCTCAGATTTGCAGAAATGTTAAATAGACTACGTGAAAACAAGATGACAGATGAAGACAAAGAACTCATATCTCAACGAATCATCAAGCAAGACTCTGAAGTCTATCCTAAGGAGGCACCTCATCTGTTTATTGAGAACAAGTTTGTTGATTGTTTTAATAACAATCTTATAGAAAACCTTTCAACAAATAAAGTAAATGTAAGAGCAGACACAGATGTGTTATCCCAGACAAAACTTTCTGCATCAGTAAAATTAAAACTAGTTCAAAACTTGCCTGAAAACCAAGCATCTACTGGACAATTAAGTACCAGTCCACATAAAAATCAGACAAAGGGTGATATATGAGGGTTCTCAGAATTTGATGATTTTCCACTCATAGATTTATTTTGAAGTATGAACAATGTATGTAAAATGAAAAATGTTTTGAATCATGGTAACCATGGAAACCCGGTCAAAGAAATTTCCTTAGCAACCGGCGGATTTTTCAGTGTTGAAGGACAAAAAATCACCTATGTTTGAGGCTTAAAATAACACGTAAATACCATGAGAATTATTCTTACTTATGGGTGTAATAAAGATACACATTTATTGTGTTCTTCTGTGGTAGACATTGGAAGGAACATATGTTTTACAAGTTTTGCTGATTCAGCATTTTTAGTGATTTTGGCAATATTCAAGGCCAAATTTTAAAAATGGCCCGATTAATACAGTTGTTACATGTATCTCATATAAAAGCAGAGGTATTTTTCTTTTAGAATTTGAAGTCAAATCCATGGGCTCTTTTGAAAATCGAATCTGTTGCCTAGCAACAAAAATGGGCTTTTTGATGCATAAAATGAGAAACAATGTAAAAAGTTTACGGAAAAATCAAATGAACGGTTATTTATGATAAATGAGATAAAAATTTTAAAATAGTATAATTAAATTCGGTCTCCCTAGCACATTATTGAAGATTGCATAATTCTTTATCTCCATAGCAACGACAGGTTCTCCATAGCAACAAGGCAAAGAAAGGTAATTTTGGAGTGTATTCGTGTAATCTTATTAAGACTTATTCAAATTAAGTCAGAAAAATGTGATTTAGCAAAATTGACAATGAAATGTTGGTTTTATTATTGTTATTTTTTTTTGGTACTTAATCAACCCATATGGCAAAAAGGATTCCGTGTACATGACAACCAAACTTCCTATGTCTCCTGTAAAACAGATTTGACTTTGGGATTGTATTGTTTGTCATGGAATTGGATAATCAAGTAATATGCTGATAATTGCATGGTGATAGTTCCGAAAGACTTTAAAATGTTGTATCAAGTTATTGAATATTGTTCAATGACTTATTTCCATAGCAACAACACCACTCCCCTAGCAACGACACAAAGAAAGTTTGACGCATATACATGTTACCTGTAAATCTTTATCTAAATCACGTCATGAAGAAAAAAAAGATGTTGAAATGTTTGTTTTTCGAAAGTATTTTTAAACTCATTTAATCTGTAACAACTATTTCTAGCACATCGCAAACAATGTTACATTTTCAGTATGGGATACTCTGTAGTCGTTATTCATAATATTGAAAGATTAGGCACTTGTCACAGATTTCTCAGAAAGTGTTACAATGTATGAATTAATTACTCATGAAAACAAATAGATAAATGAAATGAATAAAGTCACTATGGAAACATTTCCAATGATATTTCCAATTGAATAGGAAGATCAGGTTTTAATTATGTTCCCCAAACGGAGTTTGGGAACATATTGTTTTTACTCTGTTTCTTATTATTAATATTATTATTATTATTTTTTTTCTTATTTCTTCTCCTGTACTTTTTTTGTCCGCGAGTGTTCTCAGAAACTGTTCACCCAACTGAGCTAAAACCTTTTTAGGGTTAATAGGTGTGTAGTGTAGGTGTGCGGAACGAAGGTCATTTTGCGCGCATACGCATGCACGTGCGTGCGCGTGAAATGAGTGAATTGACTGATATATTTAATATGGATGTAACTTCTACATTTTTTGATGAAATGTTTTGAAACTCATTATATAAGGATATATAAGATGTATAGATATGATTACATGGTCAAATTTGCATGAACTCACGCGCATGCACGTGCGCTTTGCTCTGATTGGCTGAAACAAAATCCTCAATATCTTTTTTGTTTTTCGATGAAATGCTTTGAAATTTATAACATAGTCATACATTAGGATTCCCTACAATATGATATATAAAAATTTTCGGGAAATCACGTGCATGCACGTGCGCTGCAATCTGATTGGCTGAAACTTTAAATGACTATAACTCCCTTGGTTTCCAACCAAACATGATGGGATTTAGAACATAGATAGACATAAAGGACTCCTACAATATGGTATGGTCAGCATTTACATGCATGCACGTGCGTGCACGTGCACTTTGCTCTGATTGGCTGAAACAAAAATCTCAATATCTTTTCTGTTTTCTGACAAAATGCTTTGAAATTTAAAACATAGGCATACTTTAAGATGTCCTACAATATGATATATAATAATTGTCATGAAAACACGCGCATGTACGTGCGCTGCAATCTGATTGGCTTAAACTTTAAAATGGCTATAAATCCCTTGTTTTTCAACCAAACAAGATGGGATTAAGAACATAGACAGGCATAATGGACTCCTACAAGAAGGTATGGTCATCATGCACGTGCGTGCACGTGCAATGAGTAAAATAGTGTAGACAAGATGATATAGTCATTACGCTCATGCAATGTTGTTTAAGTCTTAAATGCATAGATTCTGCCTATTTTAATGAAACTTACAGGAATATGGCACTAAAAGGGAGTTGGGGAGCGTTTGGGGAACATCTGTAACGGTTCCCGTTACAATTAGCACTAGTTATTCTATTGATACTTGTCATAGATTGGAGAGTTTTTTTCCAAACGAAAAGAACCGTTCGCGCTAGCTCAAAGGTAGCACCTACTGCGTCCCACAGTGGGATTAGAACCCGCAACATAAGGATCAGCTCCTTACTTTGTGACTCTAGAGAAGACGCTCTAACCACTGCTTCATGAGGGCGACGCTGCACATTAAAATAAATCAAAATAAGAAAAGTCGCATTGCAGTCAGTAACGGTTATTTACATAAAATTGAAGTTTACACCATTTGAAAGAAATATTGCAAGATGTCCAAAGCTAGATCAAATACAAATGAATTTAAAACATGGCAAGTCACACAAGTAGAAACTTTATTTCTGTATGTTGTTTGGTGAGATTTGCATTAATGTAGTGCAAACATA